TGCTCCGGGCTCGGCCACCGTCGTGAATGCGTTACTGTATTGTTTGTTTACAGCGGCTTGTGATGAAAAATGTCGATCGCTGTAGAAATACAAATTATTCCAAAAACCAAATTTGATACATACTTGATCAAGGTAAAATATTATTATTATTTGATATAATCACAGATTTTCATTACAATATATTGTTTCGCTAAAAGCCTACGTAGGAATTATATATAAATATACTTATACGTTTTGGAATTTATGGAGTGACCTGAGTAACTTTGGTGAATGGTAAATTAAAATACTGGTTACGATTAGATAAAAAACATTTTGTAAACGAAAAAAAGTTGATGAGAAAAAAAATATTAACGCCTGACTCGTTGATAATTTTTTAAAAAAGTTGTAAAAAAGGACTAGTCCTTATGATAATGCCTGAGATACCTACCTAAAAAATAAAGTTATGTTAAAGTTGATTTCTAATCATTTTAAGATAATTCTGTTTAAAGTTTCTTCAATTAACAATATTTTCTTCAATTTCAATAGAAATAATATAAATTTTATTTAAACAATATTTTCTATTATTGATTAAGATTTTTTTCTACATTTTTTCACGATCATATGACCATTATGAGTCGTGCACTTTTGGATTATACATACTTTTTTTATTGACGTTTGACATAAAATTATCGAAATATTATAAGTAATAGTAATAAGGTTATTTGTGAAAACTTATGTGTTTTTAAAATACTTTAAATAATTTACCTATAACATGAGCGGTTAAGGCATGCACATTTGGATTTTCTCATCATTCTCTCGCAAGCTAAATCCTATGGATGTAAGTTTGTCACTTTTTAGTGTTGTTTTTACGTTTCATCGCCTTTCAAATCACAACGATTCTGAAGAATTTTCCACTTGAATAAAATGACTGCGCTTGCCAGCCCGCGGCCCAGCGTCACAACTACGGTGAAATCTCCCTTGTGAAACAATCTGTGGGGGGGGGGCTGTGTTTAGCAGTAGACTTTTAATAAGCTTGATGAATAACAAATGATTGTTATGAACGCTTATTCGTCGCTTATTTCATTTTTATATATAACCAATCAATTTACACAAAACGCTACTGTAGATATATACTGAAAGAACTGAGCTCTTAATATCGAATTCATTATTAACTTTGTATGCTTGCTAGCCGCCGCTCTCAGAACAGTGTATGTGAGACATTCAAATATTGGGATATGGTGGGCAAATGTGAAGCTGCAACTTCCCAGTAAGCGTTTAGAATTATCTCGTATGTGTAACGTAGATTCTTAGTTCATGTGTTTTAAATGAAACGTATATTTGTACAGTACGTTTGGTCTGGTCGCGCGGCTCACTCAGAATACAAATTACAATCACGCTGGTAGCAGGAAACGCAGCGTGAGACGATTATTCACGTAAAGAAGTAAGTATTTAAGACTTTTATTTTCTTCTAATTCCATGTATAAAGTAGTACGTATGGCAGACTCAGTGGGCATTCTCTCTCAGTCAATCATTCGACCAAACAGAACTAAGAGGCGGTGCCGCAAACATCAAAATAGAAAAGGATAATAAAATTATTACAATATATATTTACATATTACAAATAATTATTATCTGTCAGTACAAATACGAAATATGTAATAAAATGATAGATAGTTGTGTGAAACTTGCAACCATTTTTTCACATGCTTACAAAATTGATTCTTAAAAACAAGGTTGTTGTGAGGTTTTTTTCAATTGTCAAGAGGAATGTCGGTCCAGAGTCTGATGGCCGACAGACGTTTCCAAAAAAAAAACAATAAAAACATTTATCACTAAGGTTAGCTTTAAAATATATAGACAGGAAATAAATCTCACGCAGTTAGAAAATTCACAATACAAGCAAATGTTTACTAAAGTCCCTAATGACATTAAAATACTGAAGAGACAAAACGCTTGCGTGAAGAGGTGCGTCAATAAGCTACACATAGCCTATAAAAAGTTACGAGCGAAAGCGAAATTCATAAGACAACCTTTTTATGTATTGAGCTTCATTAACACTGTCCTAAAACCACATTTATTCTTTACAGAATAAAGCTTTAAGTGGTTTATGCAGTTATTCTATCGCCTCTCTGTATCTTATACCTTAAAGACATCGGAAAGCTTCAATGTCGCATCAACAGCGGGCTACTGCATAAAAACTGCAGGACAGCGGGAGCGACGAAATCCTTCAAAAACAAAATCGGCTCATCATTTAAGGACAGGACAGACGAATCGTATCGATACGTTGATGGAACGTTTAGGGCTGTATAAAATACGAGTCATTGTCTTTTTTGCGTGCAGAACCTGCGGGCGCGGAATACCAACGAGCTACTGGCTGCCGGCGCGACTTTCAGGCCACTTTACATCCAAAGGCAACGATACGACTGATGCACGACTTTTTGATTTTCAATCAAAAAACTAAATAATAATAAAGAAATAAATTTAGTATTTTTTAATTTTATTTTATAATATGATGAAACATTTATTATTATTTTAAATAGCTTTAGACTGCGTTGAAATATTCCTTTATGTTTATTTTCCCGTGTTTATATTTATTTGTTAGTTTTTTAAAATTATTTAATGTATTAATCTAAGACGGATTATTTGTATTTGAAATTTCATCTAAATCTATTCAGCCGTTTACGGGTAATTAATTGTGGTAATGAATTACGAAAATTCAAACGTCTTTACGATCTGGTTTTCCGTCACCGCCTAGCACGTTAGGACTTAAAAATATTTAATAAAATATTTTAAGAAGTAATGTATGTTCGTATTGTTTTTATATAATAAGGGTGACAAACGAGTACACAGTCCAGTGATGGTAAGTGGATACTGCGGCCTATAGATATCTACACTTATCCTCAATCAAGAATCAAAATGTAGAATTGCGTTGTCATCCCGACTGAGGACTAAGGTAGAAAGGCTCGTTACAAGTAAAAAGGTTCTCCGGTTCTCTACATGCACCATAAGAAACAAAGCAGAATGAAGCTGGTATTCCTTGAGACCGTAATATACCATAATATAGCTGCAGCGTGGCTCTACCACGAACAGAAATAAGTATGTCGCAGGTTGATGGTAAAATCAGGTTTTTCATTAAAAACCTAGACCGATTTAGTTTTATGATATAAAGCAACGTAACCTAAACTACAGTTAAACTGCATTTTCTCTCGTTTAAGGTATCATAAAGTAGTAACTTTGCCTTCCTCCGGTTTTTTTTAAATATAGAATAAGGGTGACAAACGATCACAAAGTCCACCTGATGGTAAATGGATGCTGAGGCCCATAGACAAAGTTGATCAAAAGTTTTTACCATAAAACTGGGATATATAATATGTAGTTTATATAGAAAATGTATTCAATCAAAGCAAACGATTTCACGTATTTCTACTAAAAATATAACAAGAATCGATTTTTGTATAGTCGACGTTAAATGGGCGCCGAATGAGGCCTTGCAATGGTGAAGTAACTTCGCACCAAGAAAAACGTGGACTCTTCTCCATGCTGGACCTAATATTTTGTTAAATACTGTACAATTTTAGTCCCCAAACAAACGTACAATACAGTCGAATTTGCTTCGCTGTTAATGATATAATACAACACCAAATACTCGACTTCACGACCTGCACACATGGATTTTTCGGGACACGGATCACGTTCGGAACGCATACGCGATGTCCATTCCCCGATGATTTCTTTATCACAGTCATTATGCCTGGGTTTCGTTAGGGAGATAAATTTTAATGGATTTGAGATTTTGTCGCGTCCCGATCGGTCCGATACGATGGTTATCGTGAGAACGTGTCGAGGACCGTCTGGCACATCATTGTATTGCATTATTGTATAATTTCATAATTAGATTATGTTGGAGCAGGCTCATTTTATAATGACGACATTTTAACATAACACATTATTTCGTCTCTGGCTGTCATAAGAGGTGATTATGTGATGTGCTAGAAGATTGTTACGGTTTCTTATATTTTCTTTTTAAATCCTTAGGTACTCTTACACCAGAATGTGCTCCTGAACAGTGGAGGCAGTTTACAAATATAAATTATACAAGGACAAACATATAGACCCGGAAAAATTATTTTTATTTCATACACATACTTATTTCGTGCGGGATGCGAAGGCGCGGCCCTCAACGCCGCAACGCATTACAAAACCATTACAACACGGAGTCGTCATGTCAAATGTTATGCATAATCATCATCCCACCTGCACAAGTCTACTGCTGAACATGCCTGCCCCAAAGAACGCCACAAAATCACGGTCTGAACCACCTGCATCCGTCGACTTTCTGTATATCGACTTCGTGCAAACGCAAAATATATTAAATCAATATTTAGTGACCTATGACAAGGTCGACTGTAAGTTTGTTAGTTAATCAGTTTTATAAAACAACAGTTATTTTTCCAATTGATTTATGCGACATATATACAAAGACTTCTTATAGGTACTAGATAGAAGTTGTTATGCAAGGACTTCTATGTAGTAAACATTGAAATCTTTGCATACATGGGGGTGATGTGAGATAGTAAGAGTAACCTTAACAAAGTTACTGCTTGGTAACGCGGTGGTTAAGCGTTTTACTATGTTGAAACCTGCACGGAGTTTGATATCACGGAACGACTATTTTGTATAGCCTACAACTAATTGTTCTCAGTCTAGCAGTTTGTCCACGTGCAATGTATATGTGAATACAATCAAAATAATTGCGAAACGCATCAAGAAGTTATTCTTTAACCTTAGATTTATATAATCTTTACTGCACACAATATTGATAAATCCCCAAAATATATAAGCCAAAACATATAAGCCAAAATATATAAGCCAAAATATATAAGCCAAAATCCATTGAATAAAAGTATTTTACGGATATTATCGCATAATTTTTTTTCTAGACCATTATGACTAAACTTAATTTGAAATATGTTAGTAACACCTAATTTAATAGTACACAGTGACCAATATTGAAAATAATAATGAAGCAAGTAAAACAAGTCTCTCGGCAGATGCGCACTACTCACTATAAGAAATATGAAGATATGGACAATTATGATCCCGTTAAGTTTCCAGAAGTCCATTTACGTTCGTCTCGACCACACATGTCGCTAGAGAATTCCAACGGCCGCGGCGCACGGGATGCCAACGTCGCCCCTCCAATGAACGCCGGCCAGATATCTGCGCATTGGGTTTTTAATTCTTGAGTAAATCTTTTACATTAGACTGACTAGACCACGGAGCATCTGACTAGACCGATCCGTGATAGCTGAGTAACCCGAGTTCGATCGGTTGCCATAATTACACTGGCAGACGGGTTGGCAACCGCAGTTCTTTATTACTTTTAGTTGTTATAAGAAAGGTGCTGTTGCAAACGCTACTAGACAGTTCTTGTAAGTTAATATTTCGTGAACAGGTGAAGTAAAATAGAAACACATAGAAAATGTATATCAATCTGTTTTCTGTTCTTGAAACCCTAATTGAAATAAAAAATGGCCTACATCTAAGCAGTAGACTACTTGGTTTGTTACTTTAACAATAAACTGAGGCATTTTATCTTAGTCCTCCACCTCCTAACCTCTATCTCTATTTGCGTCATGAAAGATGTAGGTGTCTATGAGCCACAGCACCCACTTACCATCAGCTGGACAGTGTGCTCGTTTGCCAACATTGTCATAACAAAAATTAGATAAATTTGTTATGACATATGAAGATTCGGTTTCGCAGTGACTAAGCTCATAAGCACGGCGCTGTGAGTCACGAATTCGAATCCCGCAAGTACTTGAGGGTCCTTAAATTAATCGATCTGGATGTGAATTTATCCATGTATATTAAACACCTCTATGAAATAAAGGGAATTCCCACAATGGGGGATAAGTTTAAAAATGTGTACCTTGAACTGCTAAGAGCAAGCAAGAGTGTTATCAGTGAGAAACTCTTAACAAATAATAAGAAATAGAGTGGATTGCCATTAACATGCAGCAGAAACTCAGGTAATAGTGTTTAAAAACAAGGTAACTCTTCCATAAGTGACTGGTTCTAATCTGGCTCAAAGGACCAATAAGGTTTTACAACAAATATAAATATTTTATCTATTTCTTTAATTTTGTTTTTAATATTTATTGAATATAAAATACATAAGTATTTTACCAATGACTTAACTTAATCCTCCATCATGCGACGTTTCCATCATTCCATAAATTTTTATTACTGTTTGTGTATTAATACGTACGTAAATATTTAAATTCGACATTCTAATCAATGAATGAGGATCACAACTTAATTAAGCTATTATTAAAATGAACATTATTTTATTTTTATTCAATATTTTTTCCGATTAAGGCCATATAATGTGTATTAATTATTACGATCGAAAATTTAACGGTGGTTTGCCACAAGAGAATAACTTATAGTAGTGATGAGTTATATAAATTTTAATTGTAGATTTTTACAAATAACTTTATTAAGAACAATATTGAATGACGAATAGTTTCATTATTCCGGCTACATTATACATACAAATACGTAAAATATAATTCTCAAAGTCCATTAAACCGACACGCTTGCTTACTTCTACTTAAGCACCAATATTGGCAGTTGAATTCCATCATAGACATGTGGCTTCATCTGCATCATGATGAAGATGAAGCCACATGTCTTATCCGTCATGTCAAGCAACAAGGTGGTTGTTAAGTTCTGAAATAGCCATTTAGTAATGAAATTCGTTAATAGTCATAAAAAGATTGTAAGCACGCAAGCAAGTGGGTAAACAAGTGCACCCACGCCATAATACTTGTAGCATTTGAATGAACCGAAGTTTTTGTTGTGTGATGGAGTAGGTAATTACAATAAAAATTATCATATAACTCGCATAAACAGATCGCAGCGCACACAGCCTGACATTTTAACTCCTGATCCATTATCACCATTTACTATTTCAATTTGCTATTCATGAGACGTACCCAAAACAGGCACAGTTTTTCGTATGTTTCTGTGTATATACATGTAATTTGTTAACTGAGTATAGAAGTGTTTATGCTATTCATAATCTATTTACCCAAGAAGATCTTTTTAATCTTCATATCATACATACATAAACTTTCTCGACTATCACCCACAGGTGTAGGCAGCGACTACGGATTTTCATTTGGCACGATCCTGACACATCCCACTCGCTTCCTCCACATCAATATATTTACGCGTTCATACTGGTTTGTTAAAGGTACTCTTAATTTGTTTCATTTTCAATAGAGTTAATTCAAATGACATCTGATAAGTATATTCATTTCTGATAGAGTTAACAGCTGATTTAGTTTTTAACCACGTTTTTAATAACCCGCATTCTTCTGTTTGTCCGTTTGGTAGCTGCTAATTTCCTTTAATTATAAGATAGAGACTTGAAACATAGCTCAGAACCGGATAACAACGTAACATAATTAACTTTCTTGTCTACTTGTTTTTACAAATTCTCAACCTATTTTAAACAAACATTCTAATGAGTCAGAGACTAGAAACTTTAAATATAATTCGGATTTGGTCGACAATATCATTTTTACTGACTCTTTTGTCTGTCTGTCCGTATGTTTGTTCGGTGAATTTTTTACAATCAATTCTAAACCCTCCAGGAGCGAGGGTGTAAAAACTTGAAACTTCAATCGTGCTGACACACGATGACGACAACGACTGGAAACGTGATAATACTAGGCGTAATTTTTATTTGTAATACGAAATACGAGTAATCTTTGTAAGACGAAAAATAAGTTATGGTGGCGTTGCAGTACAAACACAACTACGACTTAGTATTTGTACTGTTAGATTTAAAAAAACTCACTATCAGGAGCTCGCTACAGCTGGGTAGCGCGATGGCTTAGCGATTGGTTGCGGTGCTACAGAGCCGAAGAGCGGACTCGAAACCCGCACGGAAAGTGTGTTTGTGTTCTACAAACAATTGTTCCAGATCTATATGTCTGCGATTTGTGTATGTAAAATTCCTCCAAGGTACAGGAAAAAATTCTTGCGGGGGGATATGCTGATATTGTAGGCAATTTGAACATGAAATAATCTAAATCCACTGCTGAACATAGGCCTCCCCCATGAGCTTCCCGGGGGCGAATCTTCATTAGTTGCCTTGCTTGTCAGGCGGGTCGACAGCCGCAGTTTCTTTTTATGTTCAGTTGTTGTCAGAAAACGCTGCTGCCCAGCGTCTGTTCCATTTTACTCCGTCGCCCCTTACGGCACCCACTGGGTGATAGGGTGTAGTGGATATGCTTACACCGTCAGTACGCAGTACTTTAGGCACCATTTGCCTACAAATTGTATTTATCCTCAGCGCTAATAATTTATCGGTCATGTGGATGCCTATGTTTATTATAAAGTTGGTCCTCAGTGCGGGCAGCGGTACAGCGGACAGACAACAATGGCGGCGAGCGGTAACAAGCCGCCGCGCGTATGAGTCCGTGCCCGCTCGTCACCAATGCTCCTCAAACTATCTAAGTCGTACTATTTATAGTTAGTAGGCGTTAGAGTTATATTACGTTACTCCGCCATCTGTAGGTGACTAAAAAGGTGATTATTGGTTCGGAAATTTTAACTATTTGATAATTACGGAATGCAAAGCATTCCCTTTAGCGGGTTCTCTAGCCTTCTTGGTTTGAACTTGGGTGCAGCCACCAGGTACGCATGCGCTGCAGTATCCACTAACTATTCACTGGACCACGAGCACGTTTGTCACTTCTATGTTAATAAAAAACAACAATCTACTTTTATACCACCAACGAGACGACTGCTGGATTCTTTTACACGGCTTCAAACGTCTCATCTGCCGTAAGTATGTCGAGTGAGTAATTATGTCCTCCAGATCAAATTTCAGTCAAAGTGTCAAGTGTTAACAGAGTGTATGCAAACACAGTTAGACTGTCCATTCCTTCACTCTCATAGTCTTATGGGATAGAAATCCGATCCGACCGGAGAGAGATCAGTCGCAGAACCAACGGCCTTAAGTGCTTTCCGAGGCACGGGGGAGATATACCACCAACTTTTTGACTCCGGTCTGTTACTGAGAATTTTATCACAAAAAACTCCATCACCTTATGATGAGCTGTCGTGTCTTAAACAATAGATCGACAAGGCAGTCACATACATGGTGAGTAGGTACTTAGTTATCTTTTTTTGTAGAATAAGGGTAACAAACGAGCATAAAGTCTACCTAATTGTAAGTAGATACTGCGGCCCATTGACATCTTACATTTATCCTTGGCAAGAATCAAAATGAAGATGCGTTGTTATCCCTCTTACTAAGGCGGAGTGCTTCATTCCCAGTAAAAAGGTTTTCCAGTCCGGTACTCTATACTCACCATATAATACACAGCCGCATTTAACAGTTACTATACGCTGGTATTGTGTGAGGCTTTGATAGCACAGAAATTACTTTTCAATGGTTTTGACGGATTTAATTCAAGCGGATAGGACTCTCAGAACATTCTTCATTAGTAATTGGAAACAATAGGGCTATTTCTAATTGCTGATACATATTTTTAAGTATTCTATTTCTTATCTTGTTCCAGTTTGTAAATTAATGTAAGTAATAATATATTAATTAATTAAAATACTGTGGGCCTATATACTCTCCGTAGCTCCTTGCATTGCGTTTTGCTCAAAATGCAAAGCTTCTTGCATTGCGTTTTATGTCATTCGCCATATTAAAGATATATTAACAGTATATTAGATATGAACACTTAAAACTTCTCTGTTTTGTGTATTGTATTTTCAAAAATTTTGAATTACACTGTGTATCGCGTATTTATAACAAATTTAAAGTTTGGGTAGCGCTGGAAGTGAGGCAAGAAGTGCACGTCCTCATTAGGCATTCAGCGCTCGTCTATACAATATTGATGTCAGTCGACGAATTTTTCCAAGCCGTGGTTGCCTAGCAGTGGCGTCGTACGTCCACACGCCCGACCGTCCGCCACTGGCGAACGAACTTGTGTCAACTAACATTATACAGGTACATTTAAACAAAGTTACTTAGATATCTCACTGTATTCGAGTTAGTTTCCAAACCTAATGTAGACTGTAACGATCAAACGGTCCGATCTCATTTATCTGAAATCGGATCCGATTGAAGCTTCCCACTTTTCATACTTCCCAGAACAACACATTATAGATTGACTCTATAATAGAGTAACTCACAAGACATAATTCTTATATA